CATGAATGGATAATTTTCATCCATATATTGAAATATTACTCAGCCATAGAACGTAATGAAAAACTGACATATGGCCCAGCTGGTGTGGCTCCGTGGTTGAGCGTCGACCTATGAACCAGGAGGTCATGGTTCGATTCCTGGTCAGGACATATCCTTGGGCTGCAGGTTCCATCCCCAGTGTGAGGTGTGTAGGAGGCAGCTGATCAATGATTCTCAACATTGATGTTTCTCTTTCTCCCTCTCCCTTCCTCTCTGAAATTAATTTAAAAAAATAAAACTTACATATGCTACATGAATGAACCTTGAATACATTATACAAAGTGAAAGAAGGCAAACACAAGAGGCCACACATTGTATGATTCTATGAAATGTGCAAAATTGGCAAATCCATAGAGACAGTAGATTAGTGGTTGTCAGGGGTTAGGGTTGGGGGGATGAGGAGTGACTGCTAATAAATATGGAGTTTCTTTTTGAGGTAATGACGATGTTCTGAAATTAGATAGCCATCATGGTTGCACAATTTGGTAAATATACTAAGAAAAAAACACTGAATTGTGCATTTTAACATGCTGGCTTTAAGTTATATTAAAAATAAGGGGGAATAAACCAAAATTCATCAGTTGCTAATTATTTTAGTACATGTTGCTCTTATCTCTGCTCTTGGTGTTATATCTATTTTATCTTTATGCTGGAAATACTAAATAACTGTATCTCTTAACTCTGCATTCAAAGACATGAAGTTGATATTCTGACATCGATCAGGCAAGGGGTGGAGAGAGTATGGTATTTCCACCGCAAAAAAATTGTCACATACTACAAATCAATGCTTCCACCACGAGAGAGCCCATCTTTAAACATGTACCCGCACATCACGGGCTGTATGAGTCAGACAAACATCTTGGGTAATTCTGGTAGAATCAGGGAGTTAGATGAGATGATCTCCTGTGGCCCTTGGGTGCCCAGCAACACAGAGACTAGTGAGTATGCACAGCCACTATGCTTGCATTGAGAAACAATTGCTATTGGTCAGCTGTCGCATGAAACCCACTTTGAGTCAGGGGACCAGATTTCTCCAGCTTTGCTAGTATGTGTGTGGGTACAAAGGGTTCTCTGCTGGAGCTCCTCTAGGACCATCATAGTGAAACCAGGCACCAGATAAACCATAACCAGTTTAAACCTTAGTCCCAGAGATGTCTGGACAACAGTGTCAGGGTTTGGAGACCAAGGGTTAACGTAGTTACCAGTAGCTCTGTAGAGCCTGGGGGTAGAAGTCAAACGTCTATGGAGTTATTGTTTTTTAAACTCTCCAAGGGTTTTGACCTGTATTTAAAGTGAAATTGGGATTACCCCCACCTACTTCTGCCCTCCCCACCAGGCCAGTCCCTGGGGGTCTAAACACTCCAGCTGTTTATAAGGACCTTCACAGATACTGTTGGGGATGGGTCAGAAAGTTCTGGATGCTCCAGGGCCCACAGCTTCCACTGGTTATCCTTTAAGGATTGGTTCCTTCCTTCTCCCAACAGACATTTAATGGGCATCTGTGTGTGTGTGGCAGCACACTGGGAGGCTCTAGACTAGGGAAACAAATATTCGCAGTACATTGTGACGGCCCAGTTTGTAAGGGTGTGATGTGAGTCTACGAGAAGAATGAACAACTATGCTGGGGAGTGGGGTGGTGAGTTTTGGAGGATGGGTTCACAATCCAAGTGGAGGCAGGACTTCTCTCTGGAGGAAGTGGTCATCGTGCAGAGCATGGTTTGGAGCACTGGAGGCACCTTCCCAGGGACCTGGCAGTCTGTTCTTGGAAGACAGTGATAACCAAGTCTGCAGCATGATCTGTGCACACTGATGTTACCACCCCACTGGGGTCAGGAGAAATGTTCCCGGAGCCTAACTAGCCCCCAAGCAATCAGCACAGGTTCTGGTTCTTTGCAAAGGAAAATTGGGAAGCTGGACTTGCTCAGCCTTTTCTCATTCAGAAAGTTTATTTCCAAAATGTTTCCCACTGGGTGTAATGTCAAGTATAAACTGTTAGTGGCCACAGACAGGGAGGGAACCCAGTGAGGTCTTCAACCACTCCCCAAGCCCACTTCCAGATCTCCGTCCCATCCACAGGCCAGGCGCTGATCTGAGCAGGTCAGAGTAATTTGGTGGAGGGGACCAAGTGGGCTCAAAGCAGAACGGGTTGAAAGGAGCCCAGACCTCAATATGCCTGGGAGACACGGTGAAAGCCACCACGCCGAGGTGGCTCAGCTGGCCACGCTGACCTTGGCAAGCAGCACTCAGCGCTGAATCTAACCTGTCAACTAGACTGAAGGGGAGAAAAGGCAGAAGGACACAAACATCCACCCCCACCCCCGGCCCAGCCCCTGACGTCAAGCCTGGCGTGGGTGGTATTAATCACACCAGCCTGGTGTGCAGTTGGGCACAGCTCTCCTTCCAGCCCTTCCAACCCGTTCCTGGGAGCGTTCCACCAGCCATGCACCTGCCGCTGGCCACAAACCCTCAACCACCAGACAGGCACGGATGCAGGCTGGCGCTGATGAGACTCAAAGCCACAGTGCACCCTTTACAACCCAGGCTTGGTAGGGGGGAGGGGGACGCACAACGCGGTGCCCATGCTTCCCTCCCAGGTGTTCATTTTCTAATGTCTGCAATGCTCCCTCCAGAGAAACCCTCCCCATAAGATGGCCATTTCCTGAGAATTTAATGAGTATAGGATTAATGACCCAAAGCCCTCCTTGCAGCCGGTCATTAATTCCTCCAGGAAATAACCATGGTCTTTAATCAAAATTGCCTAAATTATAGACTAGTGGTGCATATCCTCGAAGGTGGGGGGTGGGGGAGTTATTCCAACCGATTCCAATAGATGGCGCTTAGCTTCATAAATCACTCAATTTGTTTTCCATTTTCCCTTGGCCAAAGGCAGGGAGCATTGGAAAAAAAACAAAAAACAAAAAAACAGCAGGGAGTGGAGAGGATTTAGTAAAGGCCCAGACAGGAACGTTCTGTCCAGCGCTGTTTTCCGACCTGGCACGCACCTCAGGCTCATAAGACTGGAGCCACCCCAGCGTGCAGCCAGGGGCCACAGCAGCAGCCCTGCCCCCTCCGTGCAGCCTGGGTGCTGGCAGCCTCCTCCTAAGAAAGTTAGGGTGGCTGTAGACACACCATGCGGATTTCTCAGTCTGCAGCCCTTGGACCTGGCACCATGACTCAGATGTGAATGAAGTCAGAAGTTGCTTTAGGTTGAGAGTCGCCGCCTCCTGATGGATTTGGCAGACTTGAGTATTTTGATATTTGTCGCACCGATTTTTAAAGTACTTCAAGCCAGAGGTTAAAACGGCCATAATTTTGGTGGTGGCCCTTGCAATGTGGCTTACAGATCCCGAAATTGGAAGGCTAGGGGAGCTCTGGTACCAGCCACCGCCTCATAGCTCTGGCTTCCGTTCAGCCCCAGCAGCACACTGAAGAGTGAAGAAAGTCAGTGAAATGCTGGGTCCCAGGGAGCTGACCTAAACCTCCTGGAGTGTGTAGAAAGGCTGCATATATAGTAAATGATTCGCTTGTACAAGCTGATTGAAAGTGAACTTGTCCCAACCCACCCAAGATCTGTACAACCAGAAGGGTGTCCCACTGCTTGAAGCAACTAGCTTTGCTGCAAAAAGACAGGGGAATGAACAAAATCGCCTCAGTCCAAAGGTCTATGGGGAGTGCGAGACGCTGTCCCTCCAGCTCACCTGCCGGCAGCGCAGTTCCTTACTGATGCAGCGGGTCACTCTCCCCTTCTCAAAGTGGAAGGAGGACCTACCTTTTACTGTTGTTTCTAAAGGTGCTTCCAGACCTGTGGTCAGGATGGCTGAGTGGTCTAAGCCCCGGCGTTCAGGTTGCAGTCTAAAGGTGCTTCCTGAGTGCAAAAGTGCTCCTAGGAAAGGATTTTCCCTCCACCCTCCACCTGAAGTTGGGGTTGTCTGGTCCAGTGTGTGCTTCCCCCCAGTTCATCTCGGGTAAACCCACCAGGGCAGTCAGAGGGGCTGCTATGCCGCACTTTTCATGTGAGCCAGAGAGGTCTCCAGTGTGGGGGTGCGCTGGGACCCCAGTGTCTGGTCCTACCACACCTTGCCTCCCGGTTTACTATGACACACATTGACTCACTTTTGCTTCCTTGATTCTGCACATCATACGAGTTTTCTTTTACTAAATTGTATTTCCCAGAGGCAGTGGAGGAGCCAGCGGGACTTTATTTCCTGGTAGTCAGATGAGAGGGCCCTAAGGTGATCTGCACACATTAAAGCCCCCCCCCCCTTTAAAATGAGACGGGCAGGCCCACCCCCACCCCCCACTCCCCACAATTAGAAACCTGGCCCTGCGCTGCACTGTCTTTGGACTTGAAGCTGTTCGTGAAATGGGACTAACGTTGCCCGCCCAGTTCGTAGACCCGTCAAGACAATCGTGCATATGCGGACTACAAAGGCGCCAGCGCCTAGTGGTCTGTTTTCTTCTTTCCTCTCCCGCCAAGGGTGCGAGTGAAACCAACTCTTGCTGGGAAGCGGGTCACTCATTTCAGCAGAACCTGACCCACTGAGCCCCGAAACTCGGGGATGGGAGAGTCCAGCCGCCCTCGGGTCCCTTCCTGACGACCCCCCCGGCGCAAAGCCGATTGGCGACCAGGGGCGCAGCCCCTTCCCCTAACCCCGACCCGCTCCCCCCGGGGCCCGGCCGCCACCCCCGCGTGCGGCTGGAGGCTTCGGGAATAAAGCAAAACGGGGCGGGGGCGCGGCCGGCGGCAGGCTTCGGCGTCCCCGCGCACCTCGGCCTCGGGGTCCCAGGCGCCCGGCGGTGTTTGTGTCTCCGAGGGCGGCGGCCGGGGGCGCGGCGGGCTGTGGGCGTGGCGAGCGCGCGCCGCCTTCCTGCTGTGGCGCCCCCTCCGGGGCCGAGCGCGAGTGCGCGCCGGGAGCGAGTGCGCGCGCGCGGCCGCCGGTCTGCCGCCTCGTCCTCGCCCCGCAGCCGCGGCCGCCTCGGCCCCTCCCCGCCCCGCGAGCTGCGCACCGCCCGCCGCCCGCCCCAGTGACTCGCGCCCGCGCCCTTGTCCATCCGACCCCGCGGCGGGCTCCAGGCGCCGGCAGCATGAGCGGCGGCGGCGACGTGGTGTGCACCGGCTGGCTGAGGAAATCGCCCCCCGAGAAGAAGTTGAGGCGCTATGTGAGTGCGGGCGGGGAACGGGCGCGGCCCGGAGGGCGCGGGCAGGGGGCGCGGCGCGGCCTGCCGAGGGGCTGGAGGTCCGGGAGGGACCGCGAGGACGGGGAGGGCGGGCTCCCGGTCTCCTGGGGCCGAGGGGCGGGGCGGGTGCGCCCCGAGACGCGGGTGTGTGGGGGGCGCCTGCACACCTGTCACAGGTGCGCCGCCGAGGGGCGGGGCGGGCCGGCAGGTGGAGGCTGCGGTGCGTTCTCGGCCGGGCGCGCGGCGGCCTCGGCAGCCAGCCTCCCCGTGAACTGCACACAGGATTGAAGTTTGTATCCATGGTGTTCGGACAGCGACGGAGTTGGCTCCCGGGGCCGGGGGCGCGAGGAACCCTGAGCGGCTTCCGCCTGCAGGATGGGGGGGAGCGGGCGGGGAGGGGGGCCCAGGCTCCGCACACCCCTTCCCCTTCCCTTTCCCCGCCCGCCCCTCCGGCGGCCGCCTGCTCCTTCCAGCCCAAAGCCTCCCCGTCACGGGCAGCGGCAGCGGCATCGGCATGTGCAGCCCGTGTGGTCAGTGGCTCATTTGTCTGTCCCCCTCCGTCCCTTTATTCTGTGTGTCTGTCTCGCACATGCACCCCCCACCCCAGCCCTCGGCGGGGACACTGCAGTTGGGTTTGATCTAATGACCTGGGTTTTCTGTTGTGCAGCCCCGGGGTCGGGAGAGACCATGCTGCTCAGTTGCCGGGCGGTGCTGACCGACAGTGTTTACTGACATCGCTGGGACTTCTCCCTTCCAGATGAGAAACTGGCCGCCTCGCGGGGAGAGTGGTCCAGTCTGGGGTTGAGTGGTGAGGAGGTCTGGCTCTCACCTACCCCCCAAACTAGAAGATGACTTGCCTGGTGGGGGTCAAAGTACAGGCTGGTGCCAGTTACTGAGATTTGGCAGAAGTCAGCCCTGGGCTCTGCGCAGGAGTTTGGAACTAGAAGTAAGGTTGCTAAAAGGTGTCAAGGTCTTCATCCGTTCCTGTTCGCTTCCTGTGAAATGCCCTTGTTACATGGACTCCCAGTGCGGGACTCTGGATCATTCCCGCAGCGTGGAAGTGAGCTGCTGCCTTCCAGCTGCAGTGCATCAAGGGAGCTCTGAATAGACCCTGCCCCCTGTCAGCTGCACCAGTGCTTGGGGGGGGGGGGGCGGATTGGGGGGGAGATGGAGGGGGGAGGGGGCGGCGGCAGCAGGAGGTAGAAGCTCACCAGAGTTTCCTGTCTTGGCTCCCCAGATCAGAACCAGAGGACTTCTGGCCTCTGGATTGAGGAAGTGACATTGTGTGTGTGTGTGTGTGTGTGTGTGTTTTAAGGAAGTATTGTTTCTGGTGAGTGCAAGTGTGTGTGTATGTAAATGAAATCAGGCTCTTGTGTAGATCATTTGCTGGGGAAAAAAATTCCAAAGGTTTAGCACAGGACTTTTGAAAGAGGACATAGATTTAAAATACAGTAGGGATGTGGCAAGGAAGTGTTCATCTCAGTTTAAAAGCTCATTTTCAGACATGCCCATGTAGCCAAAGAACTATAATTACTAAGAAAGAAACTTTTCTGTTCTTCAAAGTGGTATCAGTTCATTAGACACGGTTTTTATATTAGGTTGGGGAAGAGCAATTGGCTGTTAATGTTTTCATAAATATAAAAAAAAACACAAAAATATTTGGCCCCCAAAGAGCTTCTGAAAACTAGCAATGGAAGTGGAATGCCATACCAGCTATGGAATAGAGTATCCAGTAAAAATGTGACTTTTAGTTGTCAGATTAGACCACTAACCTCCAGAACCTTGAAACTTTGTTTTTGAAACAGTTTGCAAACAATTTGATACTGTATCTATATTTGACTGTGACTACTTCAACTCCATTGCCCAGACTCTTCTTATGACCCACTTATTGAGTATGTTTGTCCCCCCCAAAAAGAACTTTCGTTCAAAAAACCAAGTTTGGGGTCTTTGGGGTTAAGCACCTTTTCCACTCATTTGAAGTACAGGCATACCTCGCTTTCTTTCGCTTCACTTTGTTGCACCACACAGGTATTGCGTCTTTTACAAATGGCAAGATCCTCCACCAGCAAAAAAGATTATATCTGGCTTTATTGTGAAACTCACATTACTGAGATACTTGCTTTATTGTGGTGGTCTGCAACCAAACCTACATGATCTCGAAGGAATGCCTCTACATACTTGACTACCTGCATTCGTACAATGACTTCAGCCTCCCTCCCATCTTCCACACAGCTGCAGCCTGTACGCAGCTAATGACACGAACAACTTTCGTTAGGCTGTAGTGTGATGTGTTCCATTGGTATGACTGGAAGTCTTCCAGACTGTGGAAAGTTCAGATCCCTTAGTTAAAACTGAACTGATCTGCATAACCCTGAATTCTTGAGGAACAAACTGTCTGCTTTTACATCTTTTCTTTTGGGGTGTTGAAAATGTTGCACCCTGTTTTAAATTTGAATTCTGCCAGTTCCCTCTGTATATTAGAGGCCTGCATTTGTTAGAACCAAACTGGGAAAGAAGCATGTTCCAGCCCCATTGCTAACCATATACACCAAAATATTATTCTAGTGTATATATAATAGCCATGTGGTATGACAGGTTGATAACACTTCATTGTATGAATGTATCAAGCATCTGAAATAATGGGAAAAAAGCAGCTTATAAAATAGATCACAGCTATTTAAAATTAATCCAACAAATCCTTGTTACCAAGGATTAGCTTTAGGGATTTCTTTTCATCCACCTTTTGTAACTGATTAATCATAAGAAAATGTAAAAGGTCTATTCAGTATTTTCTATGTGCCCTGGAGGAATTACAAAAGTGACCTATGCAAAATGGTGAGTATTACCTCTGGGCATCATGATTTGATTGCAGTGGAAGGCTGGTAGAAAGACTAGCCCTTCCATCCTGCGGCAGTGTGTGTGTGTGTGTGTGTGTGTGTGTGTGTGTACACGCGCACACACGCCCTTCCCAAAGCAAACCCAAAGCAAAGGCTTTGAAGACAAAGAAAACAGTGCTGAAAAGCATCCACAGCCCCCAACCGCCCCCCCCCCCCACACACAGAAGATCCACACATCACCCACCTTCCTATGCCCAGTACACGGGGGCTCTGAAGGCAGCCCAGACATTCTTAGAAGATCGCCCCGGGGAGAAACAAGCTCAACCACCATCGTCAGGTTCCCCCCAGCTACTGAGTCAGCCATGAAGAAGACAGAAGACAGCAATACACTTGTGTTGACTGTGGATGCCAAGGCCAACAAGCATCAGGTCAAACAGGCTGTGAAGAAGTCCTCTGACATTGATGTGGCCAAGGTCAACACCCTCGTCAGGCCTGATGCTTCGCTGGCTCCTGACTATGATGCTGTGGATGTTGCCAACAAAATTGGGATCATCTAAACTGAGTCCAGCTGGCTCACTATAAATATAACATTTTTACACTCTAAAAAAAAAATACATATTATGACATACACTACTCTGTAATTTTCTATTTCATGGTGTTAAAAGATGTAGCTTCAGATTGGCAGCAGTAATGCCCCCTAGTGGCTAGTTTGGAGAAAGTTGAGTATTGACTCTAATGAGCAACTGAATTAAGGAAATTAATTGTTTGCTTTTCTTTTATTTATTAAATACATGTATTTATTAAGTATCTGTGTCCAAGGCCCTAGATTTCATGCTGGGAATAAAAATTAAGCCAGCCTTTCAGTCTTATCAGATGACCTTGCCTTCTCTTTCACAAAGGAAATTGAAGCTACCAGGGAGTAGCTGTCTGCACATACTGTGACCAAATTTCCAAATGCATGTGTATCCTCAAGGTTCCTTTCCTTCCCCCCTCTTCTTGGAGTAGATGAGGTGCCTCTTCTGACTGAGCTGTCCTTCTACATGTGCTCTGGGTCAGATCCTCTCCTACCTATTCAGATAATTCATACCCTTTGTGTCATGAATCTTCAACTTCTTCCCCTCTACCTATTCCTTTTCATTAGTATTTACACACACTTGCTTTTTTTTTTCTTTCTTCTTTTTATTTATTTAATTTTTTTTAGAGAGAGAATAAGGGAGAGTGATAAAGAGATAGAAACATCGATAAGAGAGAAACATCCATCCAGCTGCCTCCTACAGGCCCCCTACTAGGAGTCAAGCCCACAACCCAGGCATGTGCCCTGACTGGGAATCAAACCAGTGACCTCTTGGTTCATGAGTTGACTCTCAACCACTGAGCCACACCGACCAGGCAACACATACTTGCTTTTAATAAAATTCTTCCTTAGTATCACCCCCCTTCCTTCTCACTGTGCTTCTTTTTTTTTTTTTTTCTTTAGAGCTAAACTTGTTAATGGTTGTTTATATTATGTCTCCCTTTCTTCCACCTTCTTCTCAGTTAGCTCCAGTCTGAAACCTACTTTGTCATTTCACCAAAGTGATTCTCAGCAGGTTATAAATTACAGGTTTATTTTTCACTCCTCGTTTTAGTTTATCTCTTCACTGCTTGGTCACAGTGGGCCACTCACTCTTTCTTGAAACACCTTCCTCTGATCTTCAGCGATAACATATATGCCAGGTTTTTCTCCTTTTCTGGCCACGCTCAGTCTCCTTTGCTAGATTGACCCTCTTTACCCAGCACTTAAAGGGTGAAGCTACTTTATAGTCACAGTGGCTCTGGTCTAGGCTCTTTTCTCCTCAGTCATCCATTCTGCTGGCTTCGGTTATCATGTGCACGCTGGTCATTATCAAGTTGAAGTTCCAGCTTAGAGCTGTGTTCCGAACTCCAGACTTGTATATGCACTTGTTTACTGGACACCTCTACCTGCATGTCTCTCAGTCAACAGACTCACCACTCCCAAACTAAACTCATCTTTATTCCTCTCTTCTTTACCCCATGGCTGCTCAGTAAATGGTGCCACTGTCAAGTGGGAAACTTGGGAATCATCTTTGACTCCCGGTCACCCACTGTTCTACATCTAATCTTTCACCAAAATCCGTTAGTGCT